TTTTTTTTTTTTTTTTTTTTTTTTTTAAGGATTTCTGCTCTGCAACAGTTTCTACAGCTTCGAACACTTTAAATTTAGGAACTTATGTCTATTCTTGGAGATGAGCAAAGATGTCCATCAAAAATTGTGACATGAACATTTTAAATTAGCTAAAATATAGAAGATAATTCTTCACATTGTACCAACCTGGAAGGTTCTACATCTTAAAGAGAAAAAATGTTGCTTTGGTTTAATTTCTGAAACACCATTTCTCAATGTTGGAAACAAGAACTTTCTTTTTAAATATCATAATTGAGGACTAACGACACCACTTTCCGTTTGCATTCAGTAAAGCTCGCTTACAACAGGGAAAGACTTTAAAAAGCACAAATGGTAATTAAATACCCAACCAGTTGGGCTTCTTGAAAATATTCTTTTTTTGCTGTGTTTTAGTACATATAATAAAAGTAATAGTATTCGTATACCAATATGTTTTCCAGCTCATTTCTTTTTCTTTCTTTCCTGCTGAAAACACCTGCCAGTGTAAATTAATTAAGATATAACTGGAAAATGCTGTGATAATTAAAGAAGAAAAAAATCAGCTATCTCAGTTTTATTTTTTGGAGTTGTTTTTGTTCAAATAATTAATGAATCCAATAATAATTATATAAACATTTTAATTAGCAAGGGATAATTTGGAATTCAGGATTTATCTGACACTCAACCAACAATATGTCTTCCTCACAAAACTTTAGAAACCTTTTACAGATCTAACCAGTTACTTGCTGTAAATAGTTTAACTTGTTAAGATTTACAGAGAGAATTTAAGTATAATGAGAAAAGAGATTATACTTTAGTACTTTGGGGAAATCAACTGCAAAGGGGACATTTTTGGTTGACATTCTGATAAAATCTAGTTTAGTCTTCTGTCACAAAACTCACATCCAGTAGTGCAAGCAAAAGGGCAGATGAACAATTCTGAACTACTATCCCCAAATTCCTGGAGATGACCTTTCACAGTTTTCTTATGAGAGAATATCAGCAGAGGCAAAGACTCTATGAGTCTTTGAGTATGAGATGACTCTTTCCTATGATAGAACGTTAAAAGACAGGACTATGAGCAGCTAATCTGACCTACTGCAGAACAAATGCTATGATTTTCAAGCAGGAATCTCGCACAGGGGGATTAAGGTACCAGGGTTCCATATATTTCCCCAAAGGATGCATACTATGTCTTGTAGATTTGGAAACATAATATGAATAATATTGATTTGGAAACATAATATGAAATTTAATAGTTAGCTATATCACTGACTTAGAAATGAATTAAACTAATTGGAAGGTTTCAAACAGATTGACATGACATGGGCCAATTCTTTTTTTTTTGGCTGTGTCAAACAGCAGAGTAAACCAATTCCCACTTCCCTAAGCACAGAGTTATTTGGAATGTATGCATATTCTATGCATACGGGCAGAGGGAGACACCAATCTCAATTTCATCACTAGATGGAACAAAAAATTGAAGAGATTTTGAAAAGTGCTTTGTGAAAACAGACACCTGGACAGAGCAATAACCTCTTGGCAACTATCCCTGTACACTCTGCGATCATCTCTGTACAATCTATGCTCAAATTGTCATCATTTGACCAATTTTCTGTCATGACAGGGGAGGGAATGAATGCCTTCAAGGCTTAGTTTGTTGTCATCCTAATTAGTTATTTTTCAAACTCAGTTTATATACAAGTATATAAGTATACAAGTATACAAGTATATAAGAACTTACTGGGCTATTCCCAGAGAATTCCATCAGAAATTATACAAATATTTAAAATACTAGGACTGTCGGTTCCATATTGATAATGTGCAAAAATGGAACTCTTGCATTAGGGGAAGCAATGAACCCTCAGTATTAAAATGACTGTTCTTAAGCACCGAGGCCTGAAAACTTTTTCCTAAGTGAATGTGTCATACACTCGGGCGTGCTTACCACAAGGGGCATATTTTAAGAAACATTCTGTTATGAGATTATGCAAAGTTTAATTCTTGGCTATAGGAAGAAAAAACAATATATTACAGCTCTTTATCTATATAGGGGGAATGGCTTGTTTTTATCTGCTCTAAGAAGGACTTTATTTTCAGAATAAATTCTTCAATCAAAGCTATATTTTCCATTATTAAATATTTTAGAACTGAAAAATAAGTGCCAGGAAAGAGTATCCTCTGCCTGGATACTCTTAACAAATTAAAAACAAATTAAACAATTTTAACAATTAAAATTGTTAAAAACAAAACAATTAAAATATTTTTAATTAAGGATTTATTTTTTCATTTTAAAATTTCATTTATTGATTAAAGAATTAAGCAATGCAGAAGAATAGAGCTGGCGGAGCCCTGGCACAGGCTGCCCAGGGAGGCTGTGGAGTCTATTTCTCTGGAGATCTTTAAAACCCGCCTGGATGCCACCCTGTGTCCCGTGCTCTGGGTGTCCCTGCTGCAGCAGGGAGGTTGGCCTAGATGATCTCTAGAGGTCCCTTCCAATCTCAACCATTCGGTCATTCTGTGATAATTAACAGCTCCCTAAGGTATACTGTGACAATATGTTGCATTAGTTTGTACTTATGATTGTCAGTGATTAATATTACAGGTAAGAGAACAACAAAAAAATATATAGTGCTTATGCTATAAAATCTAGGATAAGGGGATGTAAAATACTGAATGCCTACTAGTAAAATTACTATAAGATGTCCTGGAACTCATCTCTGCTTGGAGATAATTTAGATGTAGCAAAGCTTGTTAATGCTTCTTTAAGAGATTTTGCCAGACTCCAATTTTCTCTCTGCTTGAATCCATCCTTTGGTCTGGGTTTGGGGAATATGCTTCTTGATTCAGTTCTCATCAGAAGCTGGCTGAGCAGAAGTGTTATAATAAAAATCTTCAATATTCACTCATACATTTTAATTCCATAATTGATGTTTAAGTATATAACTTAGAAAGTTCTTCTTAAAATTCATCTTGGTGAAGAAAAAATACGTGTTTTTCTTCCTTTAGTTGTGAATAGAAGCCAAAATGTCCTATGAGAACAGTTTTATTAGAAAAAAATAATAATAACTTTTTCATAGTTGGTGGTTTAAAAGTTTTTCATGAAACAGTAAAAACTCTGGGGAAGTTCAGCTCTAAAGATAACTTGAATCCTTTGCTTTAGAAAATTATTATGAGTTAGGAGTCTCATGAGAAGAAAAAATAATCAAAATTCTAGCTTCACATTTAACCTAAGCACAGGTCAGTACTTATCATTGTACTCCTGCACTTACCTGCTTTAACTTGATTTGTGAGCACATAGTTTACAAGCTAAAAACTGAAGGCACTTGTAACTCTTCTACCCAGCTTTGAGCTGTTTCTGTAGTGTGATCAATGCAACAAGAGAGAATTAGTTACATACTGCTGTGATAAATATCAGAGACCTCACTGGCTTTTCTGTTTGGTGTACGGTTAATCATAGATTAGGTATGTCACACAGTCATAGATTCATAAAAAGAACACACAGTCATAAAAAGAAACATTGGCCAGACCTAGATAGATGTGTATTCTTTTCAATTTTTTTCTCAGTTTTGACAATCTTAGGGAATGTATTTAAGGTAGCAATACTAATTACATTGTACAATAATCACTACCAAACACTAATCACTAACTGTATTCCAACCCATCTTTTCTTTATCCTCTAGAAATTGTGACACCCATTCTTTCATTTATTACTTAACTTTCCCTTGAACATCATGCATAAATGATTTGGAGTAGAGCAATAATTTAGACTAAAGTATTGATCATTCTATTTATTGTCCCTCTTTGTGCAATTGTTCAGTAAAATGATAGTGGTATATTTTCATATATATGTGTATATATAAGTGCGATTGTACTTTGAAATTAATTAGTCTTTTCCTAATTTCCAGGTTAAATTTGCAGGTGCCCATAATGCACCAATAGGTTTTTATCCCACTTGTATTCTTAAGTGTAATTATTTTATTCAGAAATCAGGAAAAGTGAAAAAAGGATGTTTCAGAAAAAAAATGTTTCCCTCCTACGGTAGGTATTTAGCAGTCGTGTCTGTGCTGTTTGTCAACTCTTCATGAAACCTTGGTACTTTCCTATTTCAAGGTTTTGAGTAACACATTTTATCCATGTCCAGTATTCTGAACTACCCATGCACCCCAGAGTGTTGTGGCAACTGGTCAATGTCATAGCCAAGCTGCTCGCCATCATCTTCGGAAGGTCCTGGAGAACGGGGGAGGTGCCGGAGGACTGGAAGAAAGCCAACGTCACTCCGGTCTTCAAACAGGGCAAGTAGGAGGACCCGGGCAACTACAGGCCAGTGAGTCTCACCTCCATCCCCGGAAAAGTGATGGAATGGCTCATTCTAGCGGCTGTCTCCAGACATGTGGAGAAGAAGAAGGTGCTCAGGAGAAGCCAGCATGAATTCACCAAGGGGAAATCATGCTTGACTAACCTGATCACCTTCTATTAAGGAGTGACTACCTGGATAGATGAGGACAGAGCGGATGTCATCTATCTGGACTTCAGCAAGGCTTTTGACACCGTCCCTCACAGCATCCTCCTGGGCAAGCTCCAAAGGTGTGGGATAGATGAGGGAACGGGGAGGTGGATTAGGAATTGGCTTGATGGCAGGGCGCCGAGAGTGGTAGTCAGTGGCGTGGAGTCCAATTGGAGACCTGTAGCTAGCAGTGTCCCCCGGGGGGTCAGTCCTCGGTCCAGTCCTGTTCAACTTATTCATTAACGACCTGGATGAAGGCAAGGAGTGCTCCCTCAGCAAGTTTGCCGATGATACCAAACTGGGTGGAGTAGCTGATAGCCCTGAAGGCTGTGCTGCCATCCAGAGGGACCTGGACAGACTGGATGACTTGGCGGTGAGAAATCTCATGAAGTTCAACARGGGCAAGTGCAGGGTGCTGCACTTGGGGAGGAATAACCTCGGACATCAGTACAGATTAGGGGTGGACCTGCTGGAGAACAGCCCCACAGAGAGGGACCTCGGCATCGTGGTGGATGACAAGATGACCATGAGGCAGCAGTGTGCCCAGGTGGCCAAGAGGGCCAACGGGATCCTGGGGTTCATTAAGAAGAGCGTCTCCAGCAGGTCGAGGGAAGTGATCGTCCCCCTCTACACAGC